GGAGTTCTGTGGCGACCTTTAACCCCGAAACCAACTTTTCTCCGGACGCGGCTGCGGCAGGGGCGCGGCCGACGGGAGACCCGGTGGCGGGCAGTCTCCGCTCGGCGAACCTGATGTCGGGACCCCGAGTCTGGGTGCCGCCCGAGGGCCCTCAGCCCACCAGCGCGGTCGCGCGCGCCCTGCTCACCCTTCCCGGGAAGCGTCACCACTTCCCTGCAAATTAACTTTATTAACGAGATGCTGTCTGCAAGTTAGCACCTGATAAAGCCCATCATAGTAGGCACTTAGTGGACGCTGCTGTTGTCTTGATTTTGAAAAGGATGCGAGTTTTTGGTGGGGAGAGGGGAAGGGCAGGAAAAGTAGACCTCTGACTCCCCGCGTTTTCCTGCCTGCCCCCTTCTGATGTGCTTTTCTGCCCACAGGGTTACCCACGCACCACCCCAGGGTCTACAACATCCACAGTCGAAATGTCACCCGGTACCCTGCCAATTCCATCGTTGTCGTTGGAGGCTGCCCTGTCTGCAGGTATGTCACGGGCCTGGGGGCCCCAGAAACCTCTAAGAACACACTTACTGAAACTCATAAAGCCAGGATCGTTTGGAGACACGGTCAGTCTTGGGATAGGCTGCTCACTGGGGTATGGGAGAGAATGGGTTCAGTGGTCCTTGGGTCCACGCACCTTTCATGGGGCAGAGGGGGCTGGGTTCTATTTGCTGGGAGAGTTGTGTGCTTTGGCGGCCATTGAGTCCCGAGTGGGTGGGATGAAGAAATGGTAGCAGTTGGACTGGCAGCCTCTTATCTCCGGTTCTGGGAGCTGCAAGTTTGCTCTGCGGTTGGTTCTTGAAGGTGGCAGAAGGTTCCCTTCTCCCGGGAGGGTCAGTTTGAAGTGCGTGGGCAGGAGAGCCCTGACTCAGGTGGCCCGTGTTGGAGGAGCTGGAAGGCCAGGGGGCCAGGGGAGCGGCCGCTGTCAGGGCTGCTTCATGCCATCAGGGCCCTTACCTGCATAAGGGCAGCAACGCCGAGGTTCTTTGGGGTGGGAGCGATATTTCAGATTCTCAACCTTGAGCTTACAGAATTTTCTGTTTTTGTAGGACCCGAGAGGCAGCTATTAGATGCTTGTTCTGTGTGGGTCCTGAGGATTCAAATTCAGATAAGACTTGGTCTTTGCCCTTGGTGAATTCGACTGCATGGACAGTTTAGAAAGTCAGGGCAGACTTGGCAAGGACTGGGTTTTCAGCCTGGGTGGGGAGGTGGGTGGCAGAGGAAGTTGGAGTTCGTGAGATGTAACTGAGAAGCCTTGGTTTACACTTAGGCTTAATTTCAAAAGTGTATCGGGACGCTCGGAGTGGAGTCGAAGGGAAGTTAACAGTTTGAGTCACAAGGGTCAATTGTGTGGGGATACAAGGGCCTGGGAAGAGGGGCGACGTCCGGAAATGGGGGCAGGAGGCTGGACCCCCGGAACCAACCGTGAGTTTACTAAAGGGGCTGTGGGCAGGGGAGAGTCCTCTGGGTTGCATGCCAGCCAGGTGGACCTTGATATGCAAACCCTAAGCAGGTGTCTCTTTGGACACATCTGGTGATACTCTGGCCTTTGGAGAATGTGAAGGGGGAGGGGAGACAGCTGGTCGCCTCCAGAGAGGAGCTCTCTGCACCCTGCACTGGGCACCTGTGGGTGGCAGAGTTCTTGGGGTTGGGGGCATGTGGGTGGGCTTGGAGATGGGGAGCACAGTCTGGGAGGCTGGTCCCTTGCGGAGAGAGCCATGGGGAATCCTTTTGGAAAGTTGCACAGAGAGGTGGGCGACGGGAAACCCGCTGTGCTTGGCTTTGAGGTTGGTTCAGGGTGCCCACAGCCTTGCTGTCTCCAAGGAGCCTAGCTGGGCGATTCCAAGGGCCTGTTTCCGGGCGGGAGGGGTTCCGAGCAATATCCTAAGTGTAAGGAGGGGTTTCAGGCTGGCAGCTGAGGAGGCGCCGCACGTGGAGCAGAGCCCTCTGGCTGGGGTTTCAGCATCTCCCCGCAGGGCCCAGCCTGCCAGACGAGCTGGGCTCAGATCCTGGCCTTGCCAGCTGCCAGCTGGGCCCGTTTCCCCATCTGGGAGTTGGGGTGTCTGATGGAATGGTCCAAGGCTCTTGCCCAAGGCCCTGAGCATGGAGGAGGGGAGACCAGGAGTGGGGTTTACGGGGCATGGATCCCCCAGGGTTGTGAGCTTCCAGGCTGCTGCAGGACAGGGAGCATTTCCCCTGGTCCCTCCCTTTCCCTGGGGTGGGAGCGGTCACAGTGGAGGCCCCGGCTTCTGTCCTCAGCCCCCAACGTGCAGAATGTGGGTCACCATCTTTCTGTTCTTCTGAGGAGGGGCTTGGGCTCAGGGCTGCTCTAAGGCTGAGGGTGGGCGCCTGCACCGGAACAAGTTTCTTCCTTTCTGTCGGGATCGCCGGCCTCCCGGCCTCTGGGTGGTGGGCGCAGCAATGGGGAGCAGGTGCTCTGAGAACAAATTTGGGGGCCTGGGTTGGGAGCACACACTCTGACGCCCTCCAAGGCGTGTCCTCCATGGGTCCTTCTGTCAGCTTGAGGACAGATGCCGGCGGTTAGGGCCCTCCCGGCGCTTGGGCTCTTACACAGGGGTGTCCCGGCCCCCTGCCTGCAGTGCCCTCTGCTGCCGATGAGTGGGCCGGGGGCCCCGGGGAGGTGGGCAGCAGGAAGCAGGGGAAGGCCGGGTGCTTCCAAGGAAGCTCCGCGGTGGTTTGGGGAGAGGGTGCCTAGTCCCTGGGGACAGCCCGTGTGGCCCCTGTCCAGCGTCATAGGGTTGGGAGACAGGCGGCTTCTCACGTGACCACACTTCCTTCCTTCGCAGCCAGCCTGCCAGGCTCCGTCCCTCCCTGGAAGCTTGGCAGGAGTTTGCCGAAGTCACACATCTGTGATTCCCTTTGAGTGAGGCCTGGCGTTAGAGGCCTGTGCCACTTGTCACTGCCACCATCTGAGCTTTCCCTTGAGCAGCCTGACCCCATCTTCCTTGTTTAGCTGCTATGAGAGCATTTCTTTCTACCTCTGCAGACAGTGAGCATGCGCCTCACCCCACCCCTGCCCGCCCGTGGCCCCTGTGGACCGAGCACCGCCTTGGCTGGTGGGGCTTCGGCCAGGCCTCGGGCCTCTCTGAAGCTGTCCTCCTCTGGGGCGTGGGCTGTCCCTGGATGGGGCCCGGGGTTGCAGTGGGAGGGCCGCCCGTGCAGAGGGCGCTGGGCAGCGCGGGTCGGAGGCTGGAAGGCACGTCGAGGCGCGGGGCCTGGCTGCACCCGGCTCCCCGCTGGGTGTCCGGTCTTGGGGGTGACCAAAGAGGTAGGAGGGAATCCAGGAACGACTGGGGGCTTGGAAGCCAAGACAGGGCCTCAAGGAACAGCTGTGGAGGTCAGGTGCTGCCCAGAGGTCAGGACAGTGATGAAGCCGGGGCTCCGGCCTCGCCCCTGGGAGCAGGCTCTCCCCGGCCCAAGCACTGATGAGCCGGCCCCGGCTCCCGGGCTGCCGCGGGAGCGTGCCGACCGTGGGGCGTGCCGACCGTGGGGGCCTGGGAGTGCTCGGGGCCTCTCTGTCCAGCTGTGCCTGGACTGAGCCTGGGGTCCGGGGAGCCCCGGGAGCCCCAGGCAGGCCTTGCCACCTTGCAGGCCCTCCCGCAGCATTTGTTCTGCTTGGGGAGGCTCTGGGCTACCCGGCCGCAGGCTTGCTCAGAAGCGCCCCTGGAGTGGCCGGCGGCTCTCCACCCCCGTGGGACCCTTGGGACAGCTGGGGGCGAGGCATGACCTGGTCTCTGGAGGGGGCTGGCCGGGTGCTGTGGGGCATCATGCCCCACCCCTGCCTGTCTGCAGGCTCGTGGCCACCTGCACGAAGCCCTCTGCTCCCCTCTCCTGGCTTGTCTGGGGTGGTTCTGCGGCAGATCCTGACCTGAGGTGGCCTTGTGCTGGGAGCAGTGGTGGCACTAACTGGGGGTGGCTCAGAGGGTAGGGAGGCCCTGGGCTGGGGTCTGGATTGTTCCCAGCCAGGCCACTCGCTGCCTGAACAAGGCTCCGGGCTCCAGCTTCGTGTAAGGGGGACGCGATTGGGACAGGGAGGACTCTGTGAGGAAACGGGGGGTGGTGAGGATGGGATGGGATGTGTGGGTTGCAGGGTCTCCGCTGCACTCGTCCTGGGGCCCCACCCAGCCCAGCTCCCTGAGCAGATGGGTATCAGTGGAATCCAGTGACCACTCTCCCCGTAAGGTCAGAGTCCATTAAGGAAGTGTTTTCAGAATCAGTTCCCAGATTTCTCCAGTTTCTGTATCCTCCCGACCCCCGTTGCTCAGGAATGGGGGAGGGGCCTTTTAACCACAGCCGGAGCCACTTGCTCAGTTTGGATTCTGAGCCAGTGGATGAAGAGGTGAAACTCACTTTGAAACGGTGAGGGCTTTTGAGGGGCTTGGAGAGAAAGAGAGGCCACGCCACTTAGGAGACACTGGCAGGACGGGCAGGGGGTCCCCTCCCTCCTACGTGGCCCCAGAGGGACAGGTTTGCTCTGCAGCCTGCTGTTGCTGTGTCAGGACAGGCCTAGAGACCAGACTGTGTTCTCAGTTCAGACGATTTTGGATTTTTAAAAACAGTAAATCATGCTAGCACTGCTTTTGAGGTTTGGGCAGTACCCATGGTCAAATATTAACATTTCTGCAGCAAGACACAAATATTCCCATTAAGGGGACACGTTAAGACTATAAATGGCCACACATCAGTTCAGGTCACATGTGGCTGCCAGCTGGGTTTGTTACAAACATAAAAAAGTTCTGCGTTCAGAGCTTTTGGCATTTGGAATTGTGGGTAAGAGGTGTGGACTGCGATGCGGGTAGCAGGTCCCTTGGGCTGGGAAGCCACGTTGGCGGGTCGGGCCGTGGTTCTCCGTGGAAGGTCTGAGTGTGGAGCAGAACTGCTAGCAGGGCCCAGATTCTGCCCACCTCCCTGGCTGCTGAAGGGAAATGGCCTGGCTCTGCCGCCTTCTTGGGGTGGGCTGGAGGTGAATGGGGGAGAGGGCGTAGGGTCTCATCCCATCAAACCCGGACTCCTGACTGAGGGTGTTGGAAAGGGGAGGCCCAAGCTGCCTGCTCTGCTCTGGCTTGAGTGAGTGATGGATCTGGACAGAAAGCACTGCAGGTTTGTGGAATGAGGGAGCGTGTTCCTCCTGCCTGGGGTGCCAGGCCTCCCTCGGCTGGTCTGGCTGCTGCTGGGAAGCTGTGCTTATGCGGGGCCAGTCCACTGGCCTCATGGCGGGGAGGGCCCGGATGAGAGTGACCAGCCCTCCTGGGCTTCCTCCAGCTTTAGACAGTGTCGACCAGGGTCTGGAGTCTGGGTGGAGAATTAGGGCAGAGGCAGATGGGGGGCTGTTGCTGTTTGACCCCTGACCCCAGAGGACAGGAACAAGTCGCAGACGGGCCAGTTCACGTGGGCGCGGGCACCGGGCAGCCCAGGGCAAGCCCCTGCTCCTCCACTGTGGGGAGACGGCCGCCACTCGGAGGGCTTCTCCAGCCAGGGGGCGCTGGGTGCCCTCCAGGGCACCAAGGGCAGGACCCCGCCTGGCCCTAGCCGCCTCCTGGGTTCTAAGCTCCGCCTCCGAACAGCTTTGATCCTTAAGTGAGATAGTACGGAGCATCTGGTAGTCACTCTTCTCGGGCCTCAGTGGCCCCTGGAGGGGGCACAAGGCACCCTGGTGGCTCAGAAGGTTCTCAGCTGGTGCAGGTGACACAGCTGTGAGGCCTAGTTCAACTCTGTCCTGTGCTTCTCCTCCCTTGGACATTATAACCGAACGTACAAACCGGTGCGGGTCTGGGGATTTCAGCTGTAGGTGGAACCTGGTTCGGTGCCTGGAGGAAGCAGGGAGATGGGGCCATGGCTCCCCGAGTGGTCCCAGGCCGCCTGGCCGCCTCCAGTTATTCTCAGGTGGCCTGATTAGTACCAGTAGGTGTAGGAGCTGTCGGCAGCGCCTGCCTGCACAGAGCAGGCGTGTTCCGGGCCCCGGGGCTGCCTGTCACGGTCTCCTTTGTGTGGAGCCACAGGTGGTGCTCAGGGACTTCTGGAAGCCCCCGCTCCCTACTTGGGCCGCGTGGCCTCGGGTGCTCTCTCAGCAGGTTCTTCTGCCACCTGGTCTGAGAGGGCCTCGAAGCTGGGGCAGGTGGGGTCTGGGCGGGCACGGGGCACAGTGTGGTGACCCGACAGCCTGTGTTGTACTGTCTGTGCCGGAAATAGCGGCCCTGCTGACGGATGCTGGCCAGCTGATGCGCTTGCCCTTGGGGCGGGCCTGGCCTGTGGGCGGCGTCCATGAGTCTGGGCTCAGCAGGTGTCTCCACTGCAGGGCTGCTCAGAGCCTTTCCTCAACTAGCCCGGGGCGTGAGGCAGGTCCCCAAGACCCCCCCCCGCCCTTGGTCTCTCTGCAGCACTCCCAGGGCTTCCGGTGGCCAGGCCCGCTGGGAGGTGCTGCGGGAGTGGAGTGTCTACCGCGTGCTCTTCTCTGGGGCAGGGCTTGGAGTCGGCGTCCCGGCTGAGCTGCTCCTCGCTGGGCCCCCGCAGCCCTTTTTGCCCCCCCCACCGCCACCCACGCTTGTTGGTTGGGCTGAACCTTCCTCCTCTCCACACAGGTGGCCAGAGGAGGGTCGTGGGCATAAAGGATCCTTACCGTGTTTGAGGACAATAAGGTGGCTTCAGGAAGCCCAAGGACCTTGGTGTGTGTGTGGGGGGACAGGCTGGGGTCCCGAGGGCGGGGCACTGGTTCTGCGCTGCAGCTGGGGTGGGGCTGGGCCTGCGGGCCCTAGAGACACGCTCCTGGGGGGCGGGCATCATGGGCGTCACCCGAGGAGCTGAGCACACGGCTCCTGCTTCCCCCCTTCGGGGCCTTTGAAAAGGACCCTAGACCCGGGGTGGAGCCCTCGTGGGCACACAGTGGGGGGATGGCCCCTAGCGGTCCCAGGGATTATGTACTGTGCACGTTGAAGGTTATCACGACTTTTTCCGAAGAGGAAGCTTTGAGATTAAATTTCTCAAGATAAGTGACATTGTGTGAACATGGTGTGAACATGGCTGATTTTAGTCTTTCACTAAAATCTGCTCCCCCCCCCAAACCAATAAAAATCACACAAAATCCAAACTCTATCAATCACTATTTTCGGAATTTCCCTGTAGGGAATGGGAAAATAAGTCTAAAACTTTTCAACGTTGGGAAAAAATATCCTAAAGTGATTTGGGTTTCTTGGCTTTGTTCTTCTCAGAGACGTAAGAATTTTTATAGAAACCAGCATTTGCCTCTTGTTTTTCATTTTGTAAGAGAAAACGTGGCAGGTTACATGGCAGCTGGATGTTCTTGCCTTTATCAGTAGGTGCCGGTGCCTCCCAAGCGGCTCTGCTCTCCTCTTCACGTTTTCTGTGCAGCCCCCGGTGGCAGCTGGCCGTCCCCTCCACGACTGGCGCCCCAGCTCTGGAGGCGCCTAGGCTTGCGGCCGTGGGTGGAGGGCGCCCTGGGGACAGGGGCCCGCTGGGCTGGCAGGCCTTGGGTCTGCGAGGGCCCTAACCCGGTGCCCCCTCTCTCTCCGCAGGGTCGGGGTTCTGGAGGACTCCTTCACCTTCCTGGGCATCTTCTTGGCCATCGTCTTGTTCCCCTTTGGGTTCATCTGCTGTTTTGCCTTGAGGAAGCGAAGATGCCCCAACTGTGGAGCAAACTTTACTTAAAGGGAACAGCACACCTGGCTTCCCCACACCCAACTCTCTTTTTCTAATGTAAATGTCGTGTACAATAGCTTCATGGGATTCAGCTTCAGGACTGTTTTGTAAAGGGAGGTGGGTGGACTGGGCGCTGGAGCCTTAGGGAGTGTGGACGCGCATGGCACTGCTCCCAGGTCAACGACAGCTCAGTAAAGCACTGCTTTTATTTTTCCCAGTCTTCAGTTTGAGAAAGGTGAGAAATACTGTTTTAAATAAATGAGATCCATACCATTGTTTACCTGGTTTTGCTTGTTCAGTGCACACTGCCACTTACAGAAATCAAGTTCTGTTACGAAAACTTCAAACAAACAAACACAAAATAGAGAAGAGCGCTGCCTCTCCTAACTCAGCTTCAGCATTATCCAGTTCACACCGACCTTCTGTTATTCCTCAGTAGGCATTTACAGCTCAAAAAATGTGCTTGTTTTCAAGTTTGTATTATTATAATGAAACCTAATACCTTGACATTTACAGAGCACGCACCCCAGTACCCAGGACCTAAGGCAAGGCCTCCCGTGCTGTGTGACGCAGGTAAGTGACGGCTGTCGTCCCTTCTGTGGAGGTGTAGAGGGTCTGGGTGAGCCAGGTGGGCCTGCAAGTGGCGTCTGATAATCCCAGGACCTGTGCCATCCCTGTAACCAGAGGGCCCCCAGCAGCAGAGCTCTGGGGGCCGGGGCCACGGTGTGACACCCCCGCCCCTTTTCCCTTATTAACAAGCTTCTACACCTCACTCCCTCCACACTGTTGAAAATAAAGGGCTTCTGTGAACCCTGCTCTTATTAAACGGTGAGAGGAGCAATGGGCCATGTGACTAATTTGATTGTGTTTTCTTGGCTGGTGGAAGGGTCTGCTCTCAAAAGACGAGTGTGCTGCTTGACAGATGCCCTTAGCCTGCGGGTCCTGGGAGCCCTCACACAGTCCCAGACCCCCACCACCAAGGGGTCATAGCCGACCAGGCAGGAGGAAGACAGGACCAAGAACCCAAAGCGTCACACGCTTACACTGGTTTACCTGCATTTGACCTTGACCATTTCAAGCTTATAGAAAAATAATATTCATGGCAAAGCCAAAAGCTGTGGTCAGCAACAAGCCCCCCTCCCCTGCCCCCATACAGTGGATGGGCTGCGTGTGAGTTTTCATCACCACTCTCCACTCCTCCAAATTGGGCGTAGTCCCTGACAGCCAGAGATAAACCCTGCCGCTGGCTCTGCCTTGCCTCGCCACTGCAGCAGCCCAGGTTCCGGGTACGCCGGCGTGGGGCTCAGCCAAGGTGCAGCCTCCCTCTACCCTCCCCCGGCTCCCAGAGGTCCTCCTGGCTTCAGCAGCGCTGTTTGCATTTTCAGCACCTGACTGAAAAGTGGAGAAACTTGCACCCCAACAGGTTTCAGAGTAAATCAGTGATGGAGGCAGCTTTGGTCAACTAGCTTAGCGAGAGGACCCTGGGTTTCTGCATGCGGAGTCCTCAGATGCATGTTACCCTGTGAGCCAGGCCCGCATGTGGCATGGCCTGGCATGTTTTCATTGGTATTCCAGTCGGTAACTCAGAACGCCGAATTCAGTACCTCTTAGAAATTATTCAAGTGCTAATATGGCTGTGATAGGGGACAGGTGAATTCTCAGTGCTCTAGCACTGTGTCTAAATCACGAGAACTTGCAGGATGCTTCATCTTGGGTAGGGCTGCATTTGATTTAAGCAAACATTTAAACGTTTTTAAGTTAAGAAAATTTTATACAATATTCTCATAATTTATATTGCTTAAGATTATTTGCATGCTGGGATGCAAATCTACACAGTGATTTCTTTAAACATCGTAATGCTATTTAAGAGCACATGCTTTATAAAATAAAACTGTGATCTTATTTGCATTCAGGTGCAGAAAGCCAGTCACAGAAGCATCGACTATCCCTTATTCTGGCTATTAAGAAAAAAAAATCATAGAATATTATAAGAAAATGATACAATAGGATTGGAACCAAATTTACAGTTCTTGAACAGAATAGGAAGAAAATACTTTAAATGATTGAGTTGTATCTAAACTATGACGTAGTTACCTTAAAGACAGAAATATGTAAACCCAGCTATGTTAAATTAGAAAATGCACTGATTTGCTCAAGTGGAATACATGTAAAATCAGGCACCCTCCGGTGAAGCTTTACAACAGGACAGCACTTATCACAAACGTATACCTATCATTTCCCAAGCGAGAACCGAACGGGGAACCAGAGGAATCTGGGGCCACCTTTTCATCGAATGACTGGTGCTGAGCGATCATTTGTCACCGTTGGTCGGAGTTTCACAGTAGCAAAGGGATTTTCTCTGCTGGGGAGGCGGGGGGAGAAAAAAATTGTTGGCAGAAATACTTCAAGACAGGGATTTGGTTCGGAAAAAGAGCTAATAACTCCTGCTCTTGTTCTGTAAAATTATATAGCTTATATAAATCCCAGACATTTTCTGAACATGAAAGTTTTGTTCTGTGACAGTTCTCTCCATGCGCCCATTATAAGCTGCTAATTGTTTCGTTTTGGCTGCAGTGAGAAAGGCCTCAGGCCTGGGGGTCCTCTGGGAGCGGGACCTGGAGGGCCTGCCCAGCATCTGCCCTGATCCAGAAGGGAGTTCCCCTGGCCTCGTGTTGCGTTTGGCACTTAATAATGCAGCCGCTGTCCTAGAAGGCTCTCCTACCACCACCTCCCCGCCCCACACAGGACTGCAGAGAGGTATGCTGCCCTCTGTCTGAAATGTTTAAAGCTCTGGATAGTTCTGTAATGGGCGGTGGGCTTCCCTGGCGGTCCAGTGGTTAGCACTCCACGCTTTCATTGCTGAGGGCCTCGGTTCAGTCCCTGGTCGGGGAACTGGGATCCTGCAAGCCCAGTTCTCCTGGGCTGAGCAAGGGGGAGGGCCCTGGTGGAGGAAAGTAACATACCTGAGAAAAGGAGGCTTTGCAAACCCATTTGCATCATTCTGTGGGAAAGAAGAAGAAGTTTATGGAAGGCTCCTGAAATTGGGACATTTTTAATAAGACCTGAATGTAAAGACATCTGAAGCATAAGGGACTGCTTAAAGCCATGCATGTTTCAAAGTGCCCTGGAGTCTCAATTCATTTGTCTCATTTATCTAAATTCACTCGGAAGCGTAAGGGCAAGAACAGAAGACATTCTGAAACACAGTGAGGGACCCTTACAAATGCTGGAACATCTTAGAGGGAAACACAAGGTCTGCTGCTCCCTGCCTGTGGCCTGAATTCAGGTGCAAAACTGTAGTGATTATGGTTGGCTTTTTGGGAGCCCGATCCTGAATGATGCCACGAGAAACAGTAAAAACAAAACCTTGTTGGGTTTCGGTGCTGTAGACTGGTGCCAACTGCCAAGCAGAAATCTGATCTTGTAGAAGTTCCGTAGTTGCGGGAGAGAGAGGACAGAACAGTGCAGGCACTGTCTTTGCCTTCAGGAATTGCCAGAGCCCTCTCGGAGCCCCGGCCTCCAGCTCCCAGGGGCTCGGGGTCTCCCAGTGTGGCCGGGGACCAGGTGATTGTGTGTCCTCTCCTTCATTCCACAAAGAATCTCCTTTAAATCTGCTCTGGCTATTCTAAGAAATCACTGGCCCAAGCTGGCGGGCTTATTCAGATGGCTGCCCAGGAGAGGGCAGTGTCATGCCATCTGACCAGGGCCACCAGGCCAGCTCCCAGGATGCCCAATGGTCTCAGGGCTTGCAGGCCTCTGAGCTCCTCTCACTTCCCGTTGCCAGTTGCCAGCCTGGGGCTGAAGGCCACGCCTGGAGTGAAAGCCAGGCCAGGGCTCCCTTGGGATGGCCTCTCCTGGGTGCTGGATGTACAGACTCAAGGCAGAAGGGGGCTGGGGGCACCAGGGCTCCTTCACAGACCTGCGCCTGCTGTCTCCGGGCCTCTGGGGACCTCACACCTTGACCTTGAACCTGGGGCCAGCAAGGTCATCCCGAGGGGGAGCCCCCAGCACCAGGGGCAGCCAGCCCGGTGTCCAGATTCAATGTCTCCCTCTCAGGATTGAAGCACAAAGCAGCTGCCCTGCTCGTTAGCACATCCTAAAAGGGCCTGTCCCCACAGGGCCGCCGGGCTTGCTCAGCAGGCCTCGGAGTGAGCAGTTTCTGGTGTAACATTCATGTTACAGGATGAGTAAGGGCTAACTTATGATTTATTTTAAGATACCCCAGAATGCCTGTCGTGCAGTCCCACACATGCTCAGGGTGCTGGCATTAACCTGCTGCCCAAAGCAGGTGCCCCCAGGCTGGGGAGGCTGAGTCCAGTCTGTGACTGTGGCTCAGGGGGAGGCTGGCTGCGTCCTCCCGGCCTGGAAGGCCCACGCCCTGCCAAGCTGGACTCCCTGGATGCGGCCTCCGCAGGGCATGTAACAGAAACCACCTTTTTGCCTGTCCTTGGGGCAGGGCACTGTCCCCCTCCCCTGTGTGTCCTCAACTTGAGGAGTGCCCCTGCTGCCCTCAAGGCAGAAACCTTGGAGCCTGACTGAACTCTGAAACGAGCTTAGCCATGGTTTCACAGGCTGTGTTATCTGGGTGACACGACATGGTGAGAGAAACAGAAACACTGGAGGAGATGCATTGAAGTCCAGCCCTGGCGGTAAAGTGGCAAGAAGTAACAACTTGTGCTATGAGGAAAGAGCAAAATGACTCCTAAGACGGCAGCCTGAAGCTACCGGGCCCTGGCACGTGCCCCAGCGAGCCCACTCCTGGTTGGTACAAGCAGCATGCGCGCAAATTAGCACTGAGACACCCGCTAGGATGAATGGGGCAGTCCTATCCCAACAACAGGAGAGATGTCAGGCAAAATGTTCTCTGACATAAATCGTAGTTTTCTTAAGTCAGTTTCCCAAGGGAATAGAAATAAAAGCAAACATAAACAAATGGGACCTAATCAAACTTACAACCTTTTGCACAGCAAAGGAAACCATAAACAAAACAAAAAGACAGCCTACAGACTGGGAGAAAATCTCGGCAAACTATGTGACCGACAAAGGCTTAGTTTCCAAAATATACGAATAGCTCATACAGCTCAATAACAAAAAAACATTCCAATCCAAAAATGGAAAGGCTTAGACATTTCTCCAAAGAAGACATACAGATGGGCAACAGGCACATAAAAAGATGCTCAACATTGCTAATTATTAGAAAAATGCAAACCAAAACAACAGTGAGGTTCCACCCTCACACTGGTTAGAATGGCCGTTATTAAAAAGTCCACAAATAACAAATGCTGGAGAGGGTGTGGAGAAAAGGGAACCCTCCTACACTGTTGGTGGGAGTGTAAATTGGTGCAGCCACTATGGAGAACAGCATGGAGGTTCCTTAAAAAACTAAAAATAGAATTGCCATATGAATCACCAATTCCACTCCTGGGCAGATATCTGGACAAAGCTCTAATTCAAAAAGATAAATGCACCCCAACGTTCATAGCAGCACTATTTACAATAAACAGAAACAACCTAAAGTGTCCATCAACAGATGAATGGATAAAGAAGATGGGGTACATATATACAGTGGACTATTACTCAGCCATAAGAGTGAAATAATGTCATTTGCAGCAACATGGATGGACCTATATGGATTGTACTAAGTGAAGGAAGTCAAAAAGAGAAAGACAAATACCAATATGATATCACTTATATGTGGAATCTAAAATATGACTTAGGGACTTTCCTGGTGGTCCAGTGGGTAAGACGCCACGCTCCCAATGCAGGGGGCCCGGGTTCGATCCCTGGTTGGGGAACTAGATCCCACATGCATGCAGCAACTAAGATCCCACGTGCCACAACTAAACATGCCACAAAGATCCCACATACTGCAACTAAGACCTGGTGAAGCCAAAATAAATATTTTAAAGAAACAGAACATGACACAAATAACCTATTTACGAAACAGAAACAGATTCACAGAAAACAAACATGGTTATCAAAGGGGACCACGGGGAGGGATAAATTAGTAGAAGTGTGGGATTAACAGATACACACTCTATACATAAAATAGGTAAACAAGGTTCTACTGTATAGCACAGGGAATTATATTCAGTGTCATGTAATGTACCGTAATGAAAAAGAATAGTTTTTAAAAAGAATGTATACATATGTATAACTGAGGCACTGTGCTGTACACCTGAAACTAATGCAACGTTGTAAATCAGTTATTCTAACAGGAGGGATGACAGCCTCTGTTGAGACACCAGTGGAACCACAGAAGGACACAGTTCTGTCTACGCAGGGCCAGACCAGACAGGCACCCAGCGTCCAGAGGAGGGCAGACTGGACTGTGAGATGGGACAGTGCGGGGGACTCCTGGAGGGCCGGTAGTGCTCCAGTTCCTGATTGGGTGTTGGTTATATGGAGTCACTTTGTGAAAAGTGACTTTTCTTGCACTTTTCTGTATATGGTATTCAATATTTACTTAAAAAAAAAAAAAGGACCTTTTCAGAAAGGTGCCCTCTTTAACACACCTGCCAGCGAGCTTATTGCCATGGCCGCCCTCCTCCCAGCTCCCTTCTCCGCGAAGGCAACTCCTTTGCCCAGCGAGGAGCTCAGGATCCGTTGGCCTCAGACCCGCCCGCACGGCCCACCCGCCGCTGGCTGAGCTGGGAGCCGCCTGTCCCTTTACTGCCTCCCCGAGCCTGCGGTGAGGGGTTTGGGGTCTCCCCCTACACCCCATCTTTCCCTCCATCACCTGTCACACGTCGCCCTGTCCAGGAGCACCGAGGGCTCTGGAGGCCCTTCTTGGTCGTTCTGTGACCCATCTCGGCACAGCTCCTGGCGTGCCCGGGGCACCTCTGTCACAGTGTGGGCCACACAGCATGCACTCAGAACAGCCCTGCCCCGCCCGCCGTCGGGGAGACACTGGTCCTCCCTCACCTCTCGGGTTCTGCTCGAGTTCGCAGCACGCGTCCCGCCCCCACTTCGCTCAGGCTTCACAGAGCATGACTCCAGGTGCTGGTCCCCACGGCCTGTCGCGTGTTCTGTGTCCCCTCTTGGCAGCCAGCATGCTTCCCTCCCTGCGAGTGGCCAGGCTGCCGGGGGACAGCGGGGCCGGGGAGGCCTGGCGACTGGATGGCGAGACAGCCCACAGGCGGGAAGAGGCATGGGACATGCCTGGTGACTTCTCCCGAAAAACCCCAAACCCCAGTCCACCTGGAGGTGGCCCTTGCTGGCTGTCACACTGTCCGCGTCACGCCCCCTCCCCGCCACCCCGGAGTTCTGCCTGGGTGTCTACTGCGTGCCCGTGTGCCTTGAAGAAGATGACGCGGTCCCAGCCTACGGGTCAGCTCAGACCCGCAGCCACAGGCAGACGCACAGAGATGATGGGACCCGCGGCCCGGCCAAGGCTCTGTTGAGAAGCCTTGCGGGGAGCCCTCCACTCCCCTGGGGACCGAGCCATCCTGCAGACAGCAGGGCCTGAGGGACGGGCCCTAGGGCTTCCTTGGTGCCTGCCGTCCTGCACGGCTGCTTCCTCGGACAGAACGTCCCTTCCTCTCCACCGCCAGCTGGAGAGCAGCTTTGCGTGGCCCGCGATGTGAGCAGCCCTGAGTGACACTGCGTTACGTGTTAACAACTAACTCAGTCCGCAGCTGCAGGCTGGACTCTCCCAGTTCACAACCTCTGACCCAGTTCAACCCCTTTATTCTTTTTTTTTTTAAATTTATTTTTGGCTGCATTGGGTCTTAATTGCTGCGCACAGGCTTTCTCTAGTTGTGGAGAGCGGAGGCTACTCTTCTTTGCAGTGTGCGGGCTTTCCATTGCAGTGGCTTCTCTTGTTGTGGAGCACGGGCTCTAGGTGCGTGGGCTTCAGCAGTTGTGGCATGCAGGCTCTAGAGCACAGGCTCAGTAGTTGTGGCTCGCGGGCTCTAGAGCGCAAGCTCAGTAGTTGTGGCGCACGGGCTTAGTTGCTCCGCGGCATGTGGGATCTTCCCGGACCAGGGCTTGAACCCGTGT